TAAATAGTATTTTCCATCACATCAATACTTTTTTCTTCTTTTTCAACCACACATTTCCCATCATATCACTATTCAAAAATCAATTCTTCCTCCAAAAATCCCTACCAAACACACTCTTAATGACTCTTCTACATTTTCCCCCAAATTTCGCTGTCCACGTCATTTTCCCTCTACCTTCAACCCTATCACAAAATCATTCTCACCAATATCGATTCGCAAAGAGAAGGAGGAGAGGAACACACCAACAAGAGTTTTCTTATCCTCTTTCTTCTGGGGTCGAAGAATGACCGACAATGGGGACCACTATATGGTTTCATTTTGAAAAAGTTTAGTTGTACAGTTTTTTTTGTGGGGCTCACCCCATGTGAGGGGGCTGTGTAAATGGCTGTAAAAAATAACTGTAAATGTAGCAAAGTTCTTTGATTTTATCGAATTTTTATGCTCATTGTTTATTGTTCTGATTTTGTCCTTTTCGGTATGGTGAAATCTTTATAAGTTCAGGAAATCTCCTTTAATATTATTTTTAATCTTTGTTGTTATGTTAGGTCCATACGAAGTAACTCATGACCAATATGAACCAAATGACGAAACGTTGGACGACTCAGAATATGACCCTGAAGACAGTAACTTTTCTGCCTAGAAGTTCCTTTTTTGTTCCACCTAAAAATATTTTGGTTGATTATTGAATAATATTAGTTATTGTTTAGAAAGATAAATCTTTTTTTTTTTTTTTTGCTAATTTCAGGCGAAGTAAACAATGATGAAACTGCATCAATTGCTGAAACTTTTCATGATCCAGATTATGACCTCGAAGATGGTGATGATGATCTGTTTATAAAATATGTACATGAAATCGTGGGGAAAGAAACATTACCGAGCAATGTTGGAGGCAGTGATATTATGTATTCAAATGAAGAGGAATATTGTGATTCTGGCAGACTTTTTAAAGTGGCAATTCTGAATATGGTGAAGGAATGCAGTATCTAGATTTCATTGCTGAGAAGGATATGGAAAATCCACAATTCATTACTGGTATGAAATTTCAATCGTTGGTTGAATTTAGAGCTGCAGTAAGAAACTTCTCTATAAAAAAATAGGTGCAGCGACATTAAGTTAAATCAAAACGAAAAGAATAGGTGTCAGGTAAATGTAAGAAAGGATGCCCTTGGAAAATATGGGCTTCAAGCATTGATGATGGTGGTACCCTGCAGATCAAATCTTACACTTCAAAGCATACATGTAGTAGAGAGAGAAAAAATAGAAATGTTTCATCAAAGTGGCTAGCACATAAATTTTTAGATTACTTTAGGATTGACCCTGACTGGAAATTGAGTTATTTGAAAAGATTGTGAAGGAAGAGGTGAGAGTAGAAGTCTGGGAACCGAATCAAACGGTCAAAAAATGGTTTGGTTTAAGTTTGAGAATTTTAATTACGGTTTAAAACCAAATCGGGCCGGCGAAAAAATATATAAATAAAAAATAAAAATTGATTTTTTTTTTGAAAATTTATCCAAAATTCTAATTTTGTACATT